GAATAAAATGTTTACAGCAGTGAACAAGATCCTTTTATTTATATGCTAACATTCAGTGACGAACATACAATATTAGTTATCTTTAAATTCTTTATACATTCAGATATATTTATATTTTATTGAAACCAACTTGTTTATGTAATTATTAAACATACTAAGAAATATTAAAGGGAAATTAAACTTTAATGAAACTACTGTATACAAATACAAATTATTTCGTAAGTTTAAGAATTAAAAGTCCTGTACTTCAGGGGATGCACTGGTTAAATATTAAGATAAAATTATAGACAACTTAGCTCAGACTCCGGGAACATCTAGTGGCTTTCAGATGTTGATATTTATCCCAAAGAATATGCTATCATCAGTAACACTCGGATGGGTCGCAGATCATAGATCACTGCTTCATAATGTGAAAATTATTCCATTCAATATTTCCAAGGAAATTCCCGCCTGGACAAATCAATGAGTTTTTGTCTAGGAATTATACTAGCTTCCTCAAAGGACCTAGAAATAATCACACACTTCTTATAATAAATCTAAATGCCTACGATGCCCTACGACCTATAGAATGAAATATATGGAACTTACCCGTTAATCCGGGGAGAAATATTAATTAACAATATTCGTCTTGTAAGATTATTAGTGCACTGACTACGGCTTTCTTAAAGATCACGGTGTCACTACCTTGCTATTCAAGAATAAATTGTATAAAGAGATGGATTGCAACTGCGTGAGGCTATTTATAACAATGACCGCTCTCTTTTATTACCAAATAAGGAGCGTTTTTGTCGGCGGAATTGGTTAGATAAACCACGCCTATTGCAATTACTTCAATTAATTTTGTTGTGAATACTAATGCATTCGATGATTCATGTCAGTGATGATAGATGGCGCTATTAAAAAAAATTAACATTATTGATTAAATTATTTAGATAAAAAATTGATGCTACAACTAAGGTAAGGCCAGTGTAATTGCTTCATTGTGGCTACGATGCCTAATATTAAAATCAGGCAACGTGTGGTACGTGCCGAAATGCAATCACTCGACGGCCAGAAAGCTAGTGAAAAAACAGCTAGCGGAGGGGGAGAGCTGAGCTGCGTTATAAACTGGGGCTGGGCAAACTTTATTTCATGTCGTTCCAGACTCAACAATAAACGTCGGACACTTCTTTCTATTGGTATTGCCGCAAAACTAATCAGCATTTAAATTAAATTAATTTGATTCATTAAAACAACGTTGTTTATTACATTTATAAACACTTTTCCATTCAAATGACGGTAATAGAAAAAATGTTATTTAACATAATGGAATCTTTTAAATGTATTATTTCGGTCATGGGGACGTGAAAACTTTATTGTTGTGCCGACTACTTCACAGAATCTTATCAGATTGGAGAAATCTAACGTATTTATGTAAAAAAGGAGATAAATATTTTTTTTACGATGAGGCTGTAAGGACTTACTATCCTTTGCTTTCTCATATCGAAGATATTAAAAATTTATGCCTTGACAATGGTGCCAATTCTGGCGTGATTCTCAAAACTTAAACTAAATTTAACATCAGTCTCTCCTTTTCATTCTGTATAGAGAATGACAAGGATATACTGCTGTCAAATTTAAGTTTAGGTTTAGAGAATCATGCTAGAATCGACACCATTGACACTGCACCGTTTGAGTTTTTTTTCGGCGGGAACCTTAGAGCGGGAAAGCGCTGTGAAAATTTTTTTTTTAATTATTTTTTAATTTCTCTGTTTTGTGTTTATTCGTGTAGTTTTCTGTCAATAATGTGTATATTCAATAATAAGTATATAGGAGGCCATAATGGCTAGTACGACGAAGCGGATCTTCGGACGATGAGTTTGAGACGTCTCAAAAGTACCAAATTTATAAAGTAATTGAATATTAAAGGATATATTATATCCCTGAAAATTCAAACAAATCAGAATTTGTTGTGTTTTTGTCTCACAAACCCAAAGATAAGCCATTTACTGGCAAAGACAGAATTAAATTTTCTAAACCTATTCAAACACATTGGTGTCGATTCTAGCGTGATTCTCTAAATTTATAACTAAATTTAAAATCAGTCTCTCCTTTTCATTCTGTGTAGAGAATGACAAGGATAAACTGATGTCAAATTTAATTTTAGGTTTAGAGAATCACGCCAGAATCGACGCCATTGTCTCTGGAGTGTTACATTTGAGGCCGGTTAATCGATTTAAAGTCGGCATAAGATCTTTCGAACAATGCCAATGCCAGTATTACTATACTGGTCACCATTCCAGCGAAGGACACTGAAGTAACCGGGCGTGCTTAAATCTGTCCCTACTGAATTGTCTAATAAAAACAATTTTTATTTACCCACGCAAACAGCCGTTGTTATTTTTATTTTCGTTTATAATAAATTCATACCTATTCATAAATCAGCTCAATACCGTTAACGGATTTTTATGGTACCGTCAAAAACATGATGTATTCAATATGGAATCAATATTGGCAAGAAACAAGGAACATGGCATTCTGAAATCCAAGATACAATCCCGAAAAATTCGTGGCATTATAAATTAAAAAACCCATCAAGAAAGTACATTATCATGATAAACCGAATTAGAATTGGTCACGGAAGATTTCATGAGCATTTACACAAAATCAAACTAGAAGACTCAAAGAGATGCCGACACTGTAATACAAATAATGGTAAATCCTTGCAACATCTTATCTTGGACTGCGCTGTGCTTTCCATATACAGCGGATGTTACAGATAGATTGCTTAATTCAGATCTACCAAGATTGCAGCAATTGCCATCTATTTTAAAAAACACAACTACATACTCCATATTTGTTTCTTAGGTTTTCACGCACATCACTCATAGGGACACGAAAAAAGTATCGATACTTTGTGGTATCGAGTACTTTTCCTTTCGATACCGATACTTTTGTACTCGATACTTTGTATTCGATACTTTTACTAAATGAGTACTTTTTGGCAAGTATCGATACCTTTAAAAATTTGGATAAGCGCCTCATATTGATCGGCAACGGCATCTTGTTAAATCATAGCAAACCTTCTAAAACATTCCACTGCGTTGTTATAAAGTCAGTAACTGACATATTCAAATTCTTTCCAATCTGTGACTGTGTTTATTTTGCGCTTTGTTTTGGTAGGCAAATGACTCTACCCCACCTGATGTTAAGTGGTAATAAAGTCCATACGCGAAGATAGTTAGTTAAAGTTTTGTTTCATGGTTATTTATTTAGCGACCATATTGTTAGGAACTGTGATTGATTCGCCGTTTATTGTGCTTTTCGCTTGACTGTATTTGATTTATTCAAGTGTAACACTATTATTCTGTCTGTGCTGTGTATACCTATTTGAAACCACGGACCTGAAAAAAAGACGGACGTAACCTCTTCTATAATTATAATCTTGAGTGAAGCATGCCAATGGCCGCCGTTAACTGTGTGTCAGATTCAAGTTAACATAAGTGGGTAGAATGTTTTTCAATGATTAAAATTTAAGAAAAGTAAGTTTAATTAGAAACAAATCTGAAAAGTTTCATACTTTTAAATTGTTTAACATTTCGATCTTTTTAATTGACATTTTAATTATGAATGTAATATTAATGAACACTTTTTTAGTATCAGAAATCACAGCTTTGTTTTTTTGTTTTTGATTATACGTACTATAATAAAATTTGATTGTTTTTCTTTCAAGTTTAACCGGGGGGGGGGGGGGGGGGGGGGTTGCTCATCATGCCACAGAGGATCTGATAAGGCCCTATGAAATGTACTCGATACTTTGAAGTATCGATACTTTTGTTTCGATACTTTTACGAGTACGATACTTTTTTACCGATACTACTTATGAGTACAGTATCGATACTTTCTATTTGATATCGTGTCCCTAATCACTCATTAAATAAAACTAGTTTAAACGGGATAATGCACGAAACTTTATTTATTTATTGACGTTTCGTAGCCTTTACAGGCTTCGTCGTCAGAATAAAACTTTTGTTAAAGGCTACGAAACGTCAATAAATAAATAAAGTTTCGTGCATTATCCCGTTTAAACTAGTTTTATTACATACTCCATCATATATAACTATGTGATTAGCACCTTTGAAGATTTATAATATGGAAATTAGAGATGCTAATGAAAGGCCGAAATGGTGAAGGCTACGGCCGTAAAACACGAATAAAAAAAATTTCTTTTTTTTGGCGGGATTTCATCGAGTGCGGTTGGCGTCTTATTTTAATTATTCTTAAATTCGTTCATAGTGGATATTGTGAAATAAAATTGGTGTGGTTTTGTGTAACAACTGTCTGCGTAACTGAAGAATTAGCGGAATCATTAAAATATACGCTGTTCCGGTCAAGTGGACGTGAGAATTTTATTGTAGTGTTGACTACCTCACAGAAGCTTATCAAAAAGCCAACTCGATACATTTCGTGCCAAACACTCCAAGAAACATTAGAATGCGTCACACCGATATTCTAATGTAAAAATAAAAAGAAGATAAATTTAATTAAAGACCAGGCTGTATGTGCATTGTTCCCTTTGCCTTCCCTAAAACGGGAGAACTTCAACAAAAAAAAAAAAAGGTTTTTGGCGGGATTTCATCGAGTGTGGTTGGCGTCTTATTTTAATTATTCTTAAATTCGTTCATAGTGGATATTGTGAAATAAAATTGGTGTGATTTTGTGTTACAACTGTCTGCGTAACTGAAGAATTAGTAGAATCGTCAAAATATACGCTTTTCCGATCAAGTGGACGTGAGAATTTTATTGTAGTATTGACTACCTCACAGAAGCTTATCGAAAAAGCCAGCTCGATACATTTCGTGCCAACCAAACACTTCAAGAAACATTAGAATGCGTCATACCGACATTCTAATGTAAAAAGAAAAACAGAATAATTTAACTTAAGACTAGGCTGTATGGGCATTGTTCCCCTTGCCTTTCCTGAAAAGGGAGAACTTAACAAAAAAAAAATTACATTGACAGCAAATGGTTTGCCTCTTCACTCCTTCCCTTTGTTTATTTTTGCTGTTGATCTAAGAAAATTATCAAAATGAATAAAATTTGTGTTATCAGACGATTTATACCATTGACAACCAAAGCTATGAAATGTTATCCAACAACAGTACAAAGTTAGTATTTGAGCTATTCGAAATATTAACTGCAAATGTATAACCTATAACATTGGAATCGATGTTTTCAGCTCAGAAGATCCATCGTTGGGTTGCTCCAACATTAATGGAACTCAAGGTACGCGAAAAAAAACTTGGTGGCAAGAAATATTCACCGAGAAATACATATCTTGAATGGAATTTAGAAGCAGAATTGTATGCTTTTGGGAAACGTTTGAATGAAGATTTTGATTCGGATCTCTTACTGCAAGCTTTTACTGACAGATCATATGTAATCAAAGAGGAGCAGAAGCAAAAAGATTTGGGTATTGACATAAAAATGAAGGATAATAGAGAATTGGCTTCAAATGGTTTGTATTTATAAATTTTTCCTTAATTCATTTATCATACACACTTAGCGCTTTTTAATTGGACCTTATTAAATAGGTGAGGAGTTTATCAAGAATTATGTCCAGGTATACTTGGAAACAATTTTACCAAGGTTCCCTTTGGAAGGTGTATCTGGTGTTAGAGAGCACCTAATAAGTGAAGAGTCTTTAGCTCATGTGTCATTGCACCTTGGTACCAAGGATATAATATTAGCAGCTGTAAGTTCAATTATTTCAAATCGATCTAAGTTTTTAAAATACCCAATAATATTTACAATTTAAATCATAATTATTAATATAATTTCAATGTGAATTCCAGGAGTATCCAGTTGATAGATTTATTTTAGCAAACGCGTTCAAAGCTATAGTAGGGGCCTTGCTACAGTCATCCGGTGATGAAAGAGCTGCCCATTTTGTACGAGACTTTGTCATTGCTCAATTACAAGGTAAAGCAAAAGACCACTTAGTGGTAAATAATAATTCTTAATGGCTGTACTATACTGATCTTTGTAAAATTTATGCTTTTCTTTACTTCCCATATATTGCTACATGCTGCATTATTCCTATGACTCATACCAAAAAAAAAAAACAAAACGAGGAGCATGGTGTGTGGCATGATGAGAAATGTTTTCACACTTAGTCTGTCTATCTATGTCTGAGTCTGTCCTATCCTCCCTTCTTTGCATGCCATTTTACGAGTGTATGGCACAGTGCCATACACTTCAGTCTTGTTAGGTCCTTTTTGATTTTAATTTGACTGACCATGTATAAATTTATAAAATTTTGTTCATTTTATGTTTTTTAGGAAAAGATGTTAATGAATTTTGGACTATTGATGATCCATATGAAATGCTAACAAATATTTTGAAGAAAGAAGGTGCTACTTTGGAACCACGTTTAATTGGTGAAGCAGGCAAAAACACTATACTTGCTTGCTACAGAGTTGGCCTTTATGTGGAAAAGAAAATGATTTCCTCAGGTATACCTGTTCATTTTCATTTAATAATTAATCATTTTTTAAGTATGTTAGAAACTCCTAAAAATAAGAACCAATTTTGTTAAAAAAGGTGTGCCAGACAGGTCCAAGTCAGGACTCAAGACAGGTTTTGTCAAATCTGGTATATACTTTGTATTGTCAAAATTGTATGTGTACAACTGTATAACATTATGAATTAATTAATTATCTTAAGGATATGATTTATTCTGATGTTAATCATTTGTTCTGTACCATTCTTGAGGTTTTGTATCATTTATCAAATAAAACATCAATTCCAGGTTATGGAGAATCGATTAAAATTGCAAAAGAAATGGGAGCCAGAGAGGCACTCAAGAAAATATTTGGAACAGAAGATCATATGAAACCTAACTTTCAATTAGAAGGCATACCAAAACCTAACACAAATATTCGATATCAAATAGCTGCAAGCTAGAACTAAGATTTATAGTAGAAATAGATATGTACATATAAATAAAACTGTTTTGAAAATGTTTGGCACTTTTTATTTTTCATATCAAAAATTTTTTCTGAAGAACATAACATTTAACTATATTAAATCTTTGCTTATTAAATAAAGTCGCATAAAAATAATAAATCCTTAAAACATTAAATTGTAATATAATCTTTACACAATTAATAGTCTTTGCCTAAACAGTACACAATAAATGAATAACTGCAATATAGAATATGACAAGAATACTAACCTGCATTTTTACCATATATTATTTTTCGAAGATCAAATGTTTTTTTAATCCTGTCTTAACACAAAATAAGACTAATTAAAGGCCACACTCGCAAATTACAATAAACATTACCCGCACGCAAGCAGCACGACGCGCAGTGTTGTTTTTGCAATAACGAAATATTAAATGGAATACTACATACTACTTTATAAAATGATTCAATATGTATTTTCGCGATACTCCCAAAAAGAAGTGAACTGATTTGAATGCGGCTTTAAGCATGAGTTACGATGATTTTCCACGGTCGGCTTTTTATGTTCACAATTAAAAAATAGTAAACTTTGTTACTTTAAAGGTAGGAAACCGGAACTACTGAACTTTGTAATATTATTTCATCAGTAGAAAGCTACATTATTGTTGAAGTATCAAGTCCTTTATTGTGTTAAAGTTCTCCTGTGCCTGGGTGGGTTTCTAGCTAGCCTATAAAACAATCCCTATAATAAAATCATAGTATACATTGTGGCGCGATTTCACTTGGCCGTTAGCTCGTATAGGAGTGCTACTGGAATTCACGTAAACGATTAAGTGAACGGACACAACGCCCGTTAGGGTGCGGCCAGAGTGCATTCAGATTCAGATTTCGAAAACAAGCGCGAGAAATAAACAGTGTAGTCGAAGGGTACGGCCAGATTGCACTCCTGATTCAGATTCAGATTCAGACTCAGAAAACAAAGCGCGAGAAAAAGCAGGCAACCTGCTTAGACTACACTGTTTATTTCTCGCGCTTATTTTCAGAATCTGAATCTGACTCTGAATCTGAGTGCACTCTGGCCGCACCCTTATTCGACACCGTCTTCCAGCCCGTCTTCCAGTGTAAATATTGCTTCGTGTGCCCCCATTCGAGTTATGTCTTTCGTGCATCGACTAACGACCAAATGTAACTGCGGCAGTAGAGCAAAGCGACGACGGTTCAGTAGGTAAATTTAATTAATTTCTGTGAGTGTGACCTTTAATCTGATCTCCATTACCGTTAAACAATTAATAAATATATAGATATTTTTTGTCACAAGCTCATAGTGAAAATGTCAGTTACAAATTTCAGATGCGTTATCACAGTTTTTTAGTCAGTCTGCATATTTAGTGGTAGTTTGCTGTCACCTGGATACAGAATCCATTATAAGGTTTCCATGTTTGTCCTTGATGCGAACTCGACCAGATACGTACCGCGTTTCTGACGTACCGTCGTTGTAGACCAGCTTCACCGTGCCATCGGGAAATTCGCGACGCTGTAATTGTTATTATTTTATTTAATCTCTAAAGTCCTTTAAATACGCAAAAAGATGTATAATCCATACTAATATTATAAATACGAAAGTGTGTCGGTCTGTTACTTCTTCACGCTTCAACTGCTGAACCGATTAATGTAAAATTTGGTATTTGTTATGATTGTAAAACAGTTTGAGGATATAGGACTTTTTAACCTAGAAATCACACTTCAATGGGGTGAAAAGGTAGGTGGGAGTTGGTATACGTACCTAATAAATTTTTTCACAAAGACGGAAGCGGGCGGAAACCGCTAAAGGGTAACTAAATAGGTATTTGTGAATCATATTTTTCACAACTTGTAAGTCAACATCAGCAAGCTTGCCATTTACTCCAAAGGTTCAGATTTTGGTACTAAACACAGATATAGATCGAAATAGCAAGTGTATGCATGGGAGAGTCCAGCTCTTCCTCTAACATTATTTTATTTCTTCGCGTTCTCAAGTACGAACGACTGTCGTTTTCCAAACTTACTTTAAACCCCTAGTTCACTCCCAAGCCCCCTTATTAATAAACCAAGAATAAGTTTGGATTAGTAACTCTATGTTTTGACTCTGTATATTTGTATCGCCATGTCAAAGTTTCGATGAAAATTAAACACCGGACGTAAAAATAAACCCGTCGTACCCATGGTCCAATCGCAATGCATAACCAGTTGAACCAAAGAAATTTTTTGTCCTCATAACACAACCAATTCCGATATTTAAAATTCAAATAAGTATACTAGACTAAAATTATTTTTAGCGTAAATAAGGAGTTTCCACTGATCCACTAAAATAGGTTTACAATTAAATAGTTTCATTCACAAAAGTTTTGTTTTCAGTATAAATCATATTTTAATTATCCATTTATTAAATCATTATTAGATAAAATACCAGGAGGCCATACATAACAAGAAGTTCAGGTTATGAAAATGAGTCTTCTAAAAAATTTACACGGATCTGGGACTGGAAAATAGATGTTCTGATATTGAATCATTTAATTAGGTCAGGTTTTACGGCCAAGGAAACAATATTTTCCTCTGTACCCGGGAAGGGAACAGATACGGTACACAGAAAAATAAGCGTTGCAATTGGTCGTGCCACAGGGACAAAATTGTCCTTTGGCACAACTGGTTGTGCAATGCCTGTTAGTACCTACATGGGTTCTACAGGAATCAGTGATTTGTTAGTCCCTGGTTCACCCATGAACCAACTACATAAACATGCCACGGGGACAAAATTTTCAAAGCATGTACCTGTGGCAGGGCTAGTTGTGCAATGCGGTTGGTCCATGGGTACCAAGCAAATTGGCCTTTATTTGGAAAAGAAAATAATTTTTTCAAGTATATCTTTTTTAAGTATGTTAAAAACTCCTAAAAAATCGATTTTGTTAAAAAAAAGTTGTACCAGACAGGACCATGTTTTTCACATCTATATTTTGGATTGTATAAATTGTACTTGTACAACTGTATAACATTATGAATTAATTAATTATCTTACTGATATTATGTTTTCGGATGTTAAATCATTTTTTCTGTGCTGTTCTTGAGGTTTTGTACTAAGCGAAAATAAACTAGGTCTTTCTATAGAAATATTGACGATGGCAATACGAATAGTTTCTCGCTAGTTGTTGGTGCATGGGGTACTGAGGTTAAACGCAATTTCAAAAAAAAAATTGACTGTGCCATATTAATCTGTAAAAATGCTAGAATCGAAAGAAGTGGCCTCGCTTCTTCACCACATGAATACTCAAAAGATGACCTAGATATAAGTACCTAGACGACCGACGCTGTGAAATCGAGCTTGGTTTCACATGCGTCCTGCGTACTTAAACATAGGTTTGTGGCACCACGCGAACAGATTCGGGCTACTTACTGGTGAATGGGGCTTGGTCAATACAATGGATCATGTTCGGAGTGCATTTTGGAGGCTACGAAATTAAAATTGGCGTTTTTTTTTTGAAAATATAGGTAATTTTGTGTCACCATTTCTTAACACTGCATGTTGCTGCTTTTTATTACAGGTATACAAAATAATGGGGAAGCTAATAAAATGAAATGGGGAGTTGTGTATAGAATATGGATAATGACAGGAGTTCGATGGCGCAGGTGGTTAGCGCGTTCGGCTTGCGATCAAGAAACTTTCGCAGTGGCCCGTCTTCGGATGGGTGACCAGAAACATGTTAACTCGAGCTCTTCCGTGTTTTGGAAAGTAAGTTAAGCAGTAACTCCTGGCTGCATCTGTATTGGTTAATACCCACTAATTTGCACTGGGCTCGCAGAGTGGGTCATACATCGCCCATTCTTCCTATGTTATCCATATGGAATAGAGATGGCTTTAATGGTTGAAAAAAAATATCAGTTAAAAGTTAACTATTGAATAAAAATTTCAGATAATATTCGCACATAAATAGACTCTTGAAAATAAGTACATTTCTATCCATTAGGGAATGCAATCTCGTTCTCGCGAGATCTCGTTCTCGCGAGATCTCGGCTTATTTTAGCGAGATTAATCTCGGCCGAAAAATGAGCGAGATCTCGCGAGCTTAACGAGATTGCACTTGAACATAAATTCGAAGCGCGACAGCGCGCGAAATGTCACGAATTGACACGAAGCTGCGATCTGTTTCGGCGGCGCGGGTGATGGCGGCCTGAGGTAGCGGTCGCGGGACGAGGTCTCGCTCAGATTTTGTTACGTTACGTGCTGCGATTGGTTGAAATGACAGTTGAGCCGGCGGCGTGTGGCGTGCATTTGTTTACTGATTGCGTCCGAGTATTTTTGTGGTTATTTATGTAAACAAAAGTTTTTTATGTGATTTGTGAGTAGAATAACGAACGATGTCAGCGGATATAGTTTATAAAGACTATGTGAGTGTGTCGGAAGTATGGAAACACTTTTTAAGAGCGGAAAATGGGTTGAGTGCTAAGTGCAAACTTTGTAAAAAGATTCTTAAAACCAAAGATCGATCTCCGCGTGGCTTACATGTGCATTTAAAATCGACTCACAAAATTGACACGAAGAATGTGCATTCTTCGTCCTCTGCTTCTACCGTAGAAGAGAGCGAGGTGCAAATTATATCACCACCGCCGTTGCCGCCACCATCATCAAATACTGGGTCGAATGTTAGTCTAGAATCGTCTGCACTAGAGCTACCAGCAAGAAAGAAGAGGCAAAAAATTACTGATCACTTTCTCCCGGTTGAAGATACTTCTATGGAGAAAAAAGTATCAAGAATGGTAGCTAAAGATGGACTACCTTTCCGTGTTTTCTGTACCTCCAAAGATATGAGAGATCTCTTCAATTCTTCGGGACACAAACTGCCTAAGTCCCCAAACACAATTAAACTTATAGTTATGGATTATGGCATGACATTAAAAATGAAAATAAAGCGTGAACTGGCTCAGCTGAAGGAGGATGATCACAAATTTACGCTTACATTTGATGAGTGGACTTCTTCTATGAACAAGCGATACATGAATGTAAATGTACACACATATTTGAAAGGCAAAGCTGTCTTTTGGAACTTGGGGCTGATTCGCGTCTTTGGAAGTATGCCGGCTGAAAATGGTGTCAGTATTTTGAAAACAAAATTAACCGAATTTGGCCTTATTCTGGAGAAAGATATCATCAATATTACTACAGATGGGGCAAGTGTGATGAAAAAGTTGGGTCGATTAATATCACCTTCACATCAGCTCTGCTATGCTCATGGAGTTCAACTTGGCATAATAGATACAATTTATAAAAAACAAACTGATGTTGAGGAAGAGGAACCTGTGACTGTGACAGAATCTGAAAACGACAATGAGGTTTCTTTTGAAATGGATGAAGTATCTAGCACAGACTCAGACGATGACGTTTTTCATTGTTCTATACCCAGAATGGAAGTAGACCTAGTTGCTGAATATGCGGGTATTATTGAGAAAGTTAGGAAACTGGTTAAACTGTTTAAAAGATCACCTACTAAAACTGATACATTGCAAATATATGTAAAGCAAGAATTTGGAAAAGATATAAAGTTGCAACAGGATTGTAAAACTCGATGGTCAAGCCTAGCAGACATGATTTCTACATTTAATAGAATCAAGCTGTGTGTCAGCAAAGCCTTGATCGACCTGGGCCTGGAAGCTGATCCGAACTACTCCTTGAGTGCGGAAGAACATACGGTTTTAGTGAACTTAGATAAGGCATTTCAACCTGTAAAACTGGCTGTGGAGGTATTGTGTCGTCGAGATACTGACTTGGCTATCGCAGAAACAACACTTAGGTTTATGATTCGTAAACTGGAAGAGCTAAAAACTCCATTGGCAGAAAAACTCGCTGGCTCCTTGAGAAAGCGCATTATTGAGCGACGAACGAATTTGACAGCATGCTTGTTATATATCAGAGATCCGGCTAAATACCAAGCAGATAAAGAAGAGTTTGCGAAAGACGGAACCTTTAAATTACCTGCGAAAAACGTGATTCGAACTGAAATTAAATCACTTATAGAGCGCTTGCATTCGCAACACTGTGTTACTAATTCACAGACACAGATAAATTCAGATCCATCATGGTCGATCGCATCAACATCAGCTGCCGCCGCTAGTGATGTTATTGAATTTGATGATGACTATAACGATAATGAACCGCTTTCATCTCTTTCTGAGGCTCGTAAAAATATTTCCTTGGAAGAAGAACTACAAGAAACATTGACTGCGTTCAAAGAACCAAGAGATAGGGACAGAAAGCTTACTACAAACTCACTGGAATCATTAATAAAAAAGGAGATGAATTTATACGAATCCGGGGGGTCAAAAGGCGAACTTTTACAGTTCGCGGATAACTGCCTGAGATCTGTTGTTCCCACGAGCGTAGAATCCGAAAGGGCTTTTTCTGCGGCTGGTTATCTGGCCAGCAAAATAAGAAGCCGTCTAGCAGACGATTCTCTGGACATTTTATGCTTCTTAAGGAGCTACTTCCAAAATCATTCGATATAATGTGATGTGAACTGATCAACTGATTGTCTGAGCCTTTCATTTGATTGGTATATATTTTTAATTGATCTCTAATTTACAATTGATCTCTGTCTGACTGAGTAGAGTAGGCATAGTTTTCTTTATTTGATATCTTAGAAACTTAGTTTAATATTCAACTCATTATTTGTTATTTGTCATTATTTGTTATAAAAGTATTGTTTAATTATTAAAATACTTTTGTTTCATGTAAGAAGAGAAGATTCTTTTTTATTTCGTTTTTTATTTGATTAGATACGTACGTAGTACGTACGTCAAAGTTAACTACTTAAAAGTTTATTACGAAAAATGATAGATATGTCTAAAAATTTTAAATATGACCTAAGTTTATATTAAAAATGCTTCTAAATAAATGTTTATTTCATGATACCTCTAATTCTTCTTCATTTTTTCCTAATTCATCCAAATATCGTAAATATTTGCAAAAATCTCGCGAGATCTCGAAATTGGCGAGATCTCGCGGTATTGTTATCCATAAACTCGCGAGATCTCGTCTGAGCCCCAATCTCGCGAGATTGCATTCCCTACTATCCATCAACTATTTAATAACAGAAATAAACGAAGATAAAAAGTGCAAATCATAGGTGGCCCTGGAGTTCCACAATTTCGTTGTCTCAGGGCCTCCACTCTAAATCAGGCTGACTTTACATTTCCATAAGCAGAATTAAACAGTGTTTAATACTATATACCTTATGATCTGTGGCATGCACTTCCACCTGCCCATTAGAGAAAACAATGCGTTGTTCCCCAGAAGCTGATACCGTAATGGCAGTGCCGTCGGGAAACCGCCATTCTTCACGCACATGTTCATTTTTCGGGTCAAAATAGCGAATACTGCCATTGGGCAAATGTATCTCTGATGATCCGTCTTTGTACCTCTTTTCAACTTGACCACTGAAAATTAATAATTTTATTAGTTATTACACTTGTTACTCTGACATCTTATATATAAAGTCAGAATCAAACTTACTCAGGAAATTCCAGAACTTCTAATCCATCAGCATGTGTAGTATGATAAGTCTTTGACTCAGCATAGAAATATTTAATTCTGCCTTCATTATAAAAGTTTTCCTTTACGTCACCATTGTAATAAATAAATTTACTATATTTGCCATCAGATGAAACAAATTTTATATTTCCATTAGGAAATCTTAGTTCTTTTGAGCCATCTGGTTTCTTTATTTCAGTTGGATTTAAATTTGTTTTTGATACACTGGTTCTACTGGATGTTGGTTCAGGACTAACGTTAAATGTGTCTCTAAAATAATCTTTGTGTATAACTGTTGTTGGCTTATGACTGCTGGCAGATCTGTTTGTTATAATGGAAACTGGAGATTTTGATGTACGTGATTTACCAGAATCATTTGATGTATCGGAAATCTGGTCTATGGTATTGAGTTTATTAATGTGCAATTCTTGAGTAGAATTTCTTGATTTTTGATTACAGTATTGGGGACTGGTAATAGATATAGATGTCTTTGATTTATGTGAATTAAACATTGTACTTTGATTAGTTGGCGTAATGTTATTACTAAGTCTGCAATCATTACTTGATGTTGATTTAGAAATAAAAAACTCATTATGGTTGTGGGGACTGTTGCTTTTTCTTTCATTATTTTTATTACTATTCGAATTTGAGATAGATAAATTAGATCTAGAACTCTTAGGTGATAATGAATGAAACCTCTCCATGTACAACTTTTCCAAATTGTTCTCTTCATGATCAGAATCTGAACCATGTTGAGATTCATTCTCTATATGTAATACTTCATCTTCCGATTGATAATTATCAGAAGAACAAGTATATGGTCCTGAATTTTCCATAAATTTATTTCTATCCAGATCACTTACAACATCTCTTTGGCTAAAATATTTTGCATATCTTGAGGTAACCTTGAGATTAGGAACACTTTTAGCCCTACTTCGCAATGGTCTATTGCCTGGTACCTGAACTTTTTTACACCTACCTTGTCTTTCTATTTCTAAAGTTTTATATTTAGCGTTATTATCAAAATTAATTTCTGATTGGGTTTCTTTTGCTGTTATATTAGAAAGTTTCTTGTTAATTTCCTCTAAATATTTAATGTTAGTCATCCTTCTTGTCATATCATTGCTATGTTGAATCCTCCTATTTTCTTTCTTCAATTTTTCTGTTTCATCTAATAAATCTTTCTTTTCTTTTTCTAAAACCTTGATTTGATTTCTAAGACGTGCAATAGTTGAAGTAGATTTGGCGTCTTTTAATCTAATTTCCTCTTTAAGATCACTTATTTCTTTTTTCAAACTAATAACCTCATCTTTATCTTTCTTATTTAAACGGCCCCTCATCTCTCTTACATATTTTTCATACATCTGTTTTTGCTTAGATAACTTTTCTTTTTCTTCAGCTAAATAATATTCTGATAATATTTTATCCTCATTAAATTTTTGCTCAAACATTGCTTTTTCTTCATAAAATTTGTGGCGTTCTGCATCAAATTCATCACGCACTTTTGCAAGGTTTGCATTTTCTTGCCTAAATGTTTCAATTTCATTTTCTAATTCACAAAGCCTTTCTTTTAGAAGCTCACTTGTTGCAATTAATTTTTCATTCATTTCAACCATGTTTGCTTTTATTTCACTGTCACTATTATTGACATTGTCACTTTTATTTTTTTCAGTTTCTAATATCTTTACAGCCTTATTTACTGCAGATTTTTTGGTAAATCCTTGTTTCTCATTGTGCCTTTCTATTTTTTGATGTAATTTATTATTTTTGTCAACATTGATATCCTGCAAAGTAGTATTACTTTCTTCAACAGTCTTACATGAGCAACAACTAGACACAGTTGAGCATGTTTCGCTACAGCACTCTGAACATTCATCATTAGTTTCAACATTAGTAAAGGAATATGAATTTCTTATTTCCTGTTGTAACTTAGGTAATATCTTTATAAGGTTTGGATTTTTGGCAAGACATTGTTGCATAACTAAAGGTGTATTCTCTCCTGAACATTCAAGTTGACTATGTCTCAAAAATCTATTGAAGAAAGAGTTCTCCAAGTTAAAACTTTCATGAGATACTTTACTTTCTAGCAGTTCAAACATATTTTGCTCTGCTGCTTCCCTTTCTACTTTAAGTCTTAGTAGGTTTTCATCACAGCTAGCATCTGACATGGTACTTTTTGCTGGTGATGCAAAATTTTTATAATAATCACTTTGTTTCAGTTGATGTAAGAAATCATTCTGTTCCTTAGACAACACCGAAGCCCATGTTTTGCCTTTAATTCTAAGTGGTGGATGTTTATCCTTTGGAATATGTTGTGTTAATTCTTTTATTGGATGTTGGAAGTTTTGTTCTTCAGATGGCATTATTATATTATCTTTGGAAACCTCTTTGGATTTGCAGATATCTATAGCTTTAGGCTGTTGTGATACAATTTGAGCATTTGTTATTATTGCTTCATTATTAGTATGATTCTCAGTAACATTTTCCTGCAAATTATCACGCTTAGTAAAAGATTTTATTGCATTTTTACGCCAAGGTAGCGATTTCGTGTTTTGTATTACCAAGTCATTCTTTTGTATACCAAAACGAGATGTACCTTCCCCTTTTTTTAGAAATTTCTTTTTTGCTTTAACAGCACATAGTTTTTGTTTCTTATCATCTATGACTTTTTTATTTATTTCACCCTTAAGCTTCTCTAATATTAATGCTTCAAAATCTTTTTTTGGTGTCAGCACAGGCATCTCATCTAGAGATATTTGCTTTTTAGTAAAAGATTTAGCATCAGAAACATTAGTGGTAGATTGGGGTTCATTTTGAGATGTCACCGAGGCTAGGCTTCTGGCTGATGATGGGGATTTTACAATGAATTCAGACTCTTGAGACAAATTTAAAATTGACACCCCTTCTATCAAATCTGTTTCCCTTACTTTGGGCGACACGCTTTCTATCTTCGATCGAGGTGTAGCATCATCAGTAGTTTCCAAAAGACTGCGGAATGTGTTATATGTTGTACTATTGCTAAATTGACTAACGATCTCTGTAATGCTAGATGAGTTTTCGGTATTTTCTTGGTACTCCAAACGTTGTTTATGAAGTTTCCCTCGTTGCATGAGCTGCAATTGTCTCAGCACTTGCAAACGCTCTAATATTTTCGAAGGCGAAAGAGAAATATCACTATCGGAATAGGACTGATCCATTTTAATAATGCATTCTTTTTGATTGCTTAAATAAATTCGACTAAAAGAAATAACAAAAAAACAATCACAAAACAAAAATTTTAAATTTCACAACGGAATTTTGACATTTCTGTTCGTTAATTTCTCCCATTTGACTGCAAAAATACTAAGTTCATACAGCCTTATCATTATGATTCAACTTTGTCGACGAGCTTTTGCAAGCGAGTCAATACTAGTTTTTTTTTGTAGCTGTGGTAAACATTTAAGAAGGCAAAATATGCACTGCACAATATCTGAAGTATGTTGCACTAACTACGTAGTTTTGAAGCCATCTAAAGATATTCTACAGGAACTGTTACCTATAAAACAGGACGAGTGAGATATTTATAACAGATCCCTCTCATCCCTTTGTAATAGGAAGACTAAGCAAGTTTTTGTTAAAAAATATCAAAAATCCTATAATTTTTAGTGAAGTCGTCAAAATTTTCTGAAAGTTTTGGAGTTTTAAAACTAAGACATAGATTATCCATAGACAATACTAGTATGATATGATACAAATAAATATATTTTCACTTATCCAAGTAGCTGTTCTCTGTAGCCGTTGGTTATAATTCATATTTTCTGTTCGTTTTATTTATTTTAATATTGATCAAGATATCCTCGATTATAGAATTGCAATCGAATCGCAAGGGAAACAGTTTTTTCGCAATACCAAACGTTTAACTGCATTATTTATTTTTCAAATATTAATTTCCAATGATTTTATCATATCATTATCGAAATATAAAAACTATTATGGTAAGCGAGTGAGGAGCTGGTCCACGCCTACTTTGCTCAATGAACTGCCATATGATCTTCTTAAAAATATATTATCCAAAAATCATTTAAAGAGTACCCTGCGCAAGCATTACCTATCGTTGTGTCCATAAAGAGAGGGAAAGCCTTAAGTGGTAGGTTAGTTAAAGCTAGGTTGTTTATTAAGTGTTAAATTACAAAAATAGATATTTGATATTTAAAAACTAGATATTTGTGTGTTAATAGATTACTGATACAATTTGCAAGTTTTGGTGTAAGTCATCATTCATATCATAGTATGCCTGTACTAGTTATGTACCTAACTTATGTATAACTATGTGTGCGCGTGGGTGTGTAAATGTTTTTAAGAGGTAAACTATGTAAGAAAATTTAATAGTATATTTTTGATTGTTATTGTTTTAAAAAAAAGTGAAAGTATCTTACTGTGTGTGCGCGCGTGTGTATGTAAGTTATGTGTGCCCGTGTGTATGTGCATGTGTTTTTGTTTTTTATTTTTTTGTTGAACAAGATTAGGGCTGCCATCTCTAAAATGTGGCAACCAGGACAAGACGCGTGATAACCCCGGATTTTGGAGCCCAAAACCTGGACCATAAAAAATGCAGTTAAAAATGTCACAAATAATAATAATAAATATTTCCAACACTCACACCAATTAGCCTATCTTTTTTTTTTGACCCGGAGAAATGCCTTACGCATACCCCGCCGGTAGGCGATGGGGTTATGTGAGACTCCTCCCCCCACCTCCCGCCCACCCACTCAGCCAACCCTAGGGCTGGCTCAGTGACTGTTCGGGATGGGGGGGTCCTACCCACTAAAACTCCGGGATGTGCTCTGCTTGCCTTAGGTGGCGGCATGGGATCCTTACTGGGAATCAACCACGCCGCCGCCGGCCGGCCCGGCTTTTAGCCAGGCCACCTCACGATCGGGGGGATTCCCAGGCACATGGTAGGCGCGGGTTACCCTACCCATGCCCGCTGGCCCTGACTCAGGGTGGAAGACTGCGGATGTATTCCCGCATCCTTCGTCCCATTCGTCTGCGTCGGATTGGGTCTGCCTGAGGGTCTTGTTCGCGGGCCCGCTCCGCTGCCTCCTTTTTCGACATCACCTCTTCGCAAAAGGAGGATACCGCCTTCCAGGACCTGTCGTTGGCAAGCATGGCCGAGATCACGCTCGGCAACGAGAGTTCCAGTCCTATGACCGCGGTGAGGGTGCTGCGCTGCCGAGACCAAGTGGCACACACCGCAAGAGTATGCTCTGCAGTGTCCTCGGCCGCGCCGCATTCGTGGCACATTGGGGACGGCTCTCTCCCTATCCGAAATAGGTACTTACCAAAGCATCCGTGCCCGGTAAGCACCTGCACCAGTCGGTAAGTCAACGACCCGTGTCCGGGCGCACGGCCTCAATAGTACGGATGCCGTAGGTGGGAGAGTCTAGTGTCTCTTTCCACCTGTTACACCCTCTCGTACGCCACAAGCCGGACCCTCCTCATTCCCTCCGGAGATGGGCGTTCTCCCCTTCCTCGCGCTTCCACCCTGTACCGGTAGCTCTCGGCCAGAAAGTCAGCCTCGAGCTCCCAGGGTGGTGTCCCCGCCAGTACACAGGCTGCCGCTCCGGAAACAGTGCGGTATCCTCTAATAGCCCGCGTAGCCATGGCCCTTTGTTGCCTCCTCAGTAAGGCCCTGGTTTCACGGTTCAGGGCCTCATTCCAAACTGGGGCCCCGTACATCGCCATGCACCTGACGACGCCTGCAAAAAGTCGTCTGCAGGAAGCGCTAGGGCCCCCCACATTTGGCATAATACGGGCCAGGGCGGCTGCCACTTTTGTGAGCCTCGGTGTTAGGCGTTTAAAGTGCTCGGTGAATTTTCACCGGCGGCCTCCTCCGTGGACCGTGAAAGAATATGGCTTCCGTCTTATCTAGCGCCACTTGCAGCCCTAGCATTCGAATACGTTTCACAACCAGGGTTGTCCCCACCGAGGCACGGTGTGCTGCGTCTTCGAAGGTGTTACCCCGGGCTGTCACCAAAGTGTCATCTGCATAGCAGATGATGTCTAGCCGGGACAACCATGTTTCTTTCAGGACAAAATAATAGCCAATATTCCACAGGAGTGGACCTAACACCGATCCCTGTGGAACGCCCCGATTCACATCATGAGTCATCAATGTCCCGCCTCTGCCGATGTACAACACCTGTCTCTCAGTCAGATAGCTGCGAACGATTCGCCGGAGGTACCACGGCACCGGAGAGCCTCCAGTATCACTGAAAAGGGAAGTGAGTTAAACGCGTTGGCGATATCAAGTAATACCGCCAGCAGGCACTCGCCCTCTCTTTCAGCATCCATACACAGTCGCCGCAGCTCCAACACAGCGTCCACTGTGGAACGCCCCCTACGGAAGCCGTATTGGCGGTCGGAGATATCAGGACCAGCTTCGTCTAGGTGCTTTAGGAGGCAAGCAGCTATAATCCTCTCGAATAACTCTCGTCCATCCTTTTGGAGGAGGCACAACCTGCCAACCTTCCATGGAGCGGGAAAAACACTCGACTCAAAACACGCACAGAACAAGTCCTTTAGGCGTTCCCCTAGGTGTTTGGTGGCCAGAACCAGAACTCGGCCTGGCACACCGTCGGGCCCTGGAGCCTTCTTTTTTACTCTCAATTCAAGTGAAATTTGGGGAATCTCCTCGGCTATAGGCTCCATCTCCGGCTCGGGTGGCGCCATCACCGGGGTCGAAAAATGCTCCTGTGGGGGAAACAGTGTCCCGACCACCCTGGATAGGAGCTGGGGATCCATATTCTTAGTTATGGGAGCACTGTGACGTATTTTATCCCGTACCATTTTGTACGGGCGTCCCCACGGATCGGCATCCAGTTCCTTGAGGAACTCCTTTCTAGCCTTCTCTTCGTCGGTATGACGTCTCCATCTACACCTTTTGTGAGCCCTTCGGGCCGCGTTACTGGTGACACGGAGGGCCGCTACCTCCTCTGTCCACCAGTATACCGCCTTCTTATCATGATGGCGACCTACTCGAGGCATGGCCGCGTCGCAGATGACCGTCAGCGATCTGCGAAATGACAATGCCCCTTCGTTCACCCCTAGTGCAGGTGTCGAACTCCAGCTTTCGACGATGGCTGCCTCCTCTACCATCCCGACATAGAGGTGTGTCATCGCCCACCTAGGGAAGTACCTCCGTCCTCCCCCTGGTTGAGGCCGCATTGATCCGACGGAACGTGTGACCCTGAATGATATATATTGATGGTCGGACAGGGTCACCTCTTCCATCACACGCCACTCGTCTATAAGTCTGGCGAGGCCAAGAGACGCAAAAGTGACATCCACGACGGAGCCCCCCCACCTTCTGACACAGGTAAAGAATTTCCCCTGTTCATAACGTTAAGGCCCATCATGGTCACCCATTCGGCCACCACCTGTCCCCTGCTGTCTATGGCTGGAGACCCCCAGAGAGTCGCTTTGGCATTTAGATCTCCCATCATTAGAACCTGAAGGGGAGCTAATCTCCTTACTACCTCTCCTAATTTATCCATGAAGGATTCTAGCTCAGCAACTCGTCGATTGGGAGAAAAGTACACCCCAACTACAGCTATATTACCCCACGTGGCGGCTACGTAGCCTTTGCCCCTTTCTCTAACTATAAGGGGGAGGGAGCGCCTTGCCGTAATGATGGCCACCAAACCATCCTGGTCCCCAGCCCAGTGCGGCTGGGGAGGCACACAGTATGGCTCGGCGGCGACTGCCACACACCAATTAGCCTAGCCAAAGTAAGCACTGTAGGGCTTGTGTTATGGGATGCTAGGGTAACGGATAGAATACATATACTGTACATATATACGTATATTATATATACATATTAGACATCCACGACTGGAGTACAAATGCTCATATTCATCACACAAACATCTGCTCCCACCGGGATGTTCGTTCCAGATCTTGCTGGTACGCAAAAGAAAGGAACACATGGTGCTCGAACGCCAGGCGTCCAGATGGTGGGCGAGAAACTTCTCTGCGGTGTGTGATGCTGTGAAGAAGCTTGGCCACTGGCATCCGGTTGAATAATTCCTAGGAACACTCTCCATTGTATAGACGGTACAACACGTACAAGGAGTTGCGTCCTTGTGCGTGTTGTACCGTCTGCGTAGTTAAGGGGTTGCAACGCGTGAGTGAGCTCAGGATCATCGATAAGTCAAACTGCCCGCTTTTGCATCCGGTCAAGAGGAAGGAGCTGGTATTGGGGTGCTCCAGCCCAGAGGACCAGTACTTTGTATAATAACACCCGATATTTAGGCTTGAGGTACTTACTGTATCTATGAGCACCCAAGCTTTTTCACACACACATGTGTCTTTGCTGGGTTAATCCAATCAAATTTTGTTGGCTCCAATTTGAGACTTGATCCGATGATTGAGATGTTTCTCAATCTCGGACACAAGTCTGTCTTTACACCCTTCTACTTCCATCCAAGGGACATTTGACCGACCAGTGTAAAAATTATCAAATTCGAATAGTTTGCGAGTCCGAAATGTCATTGTCAAATTTTGTATGAAAACTTGATCAGTAGCACCATAACGGACGTAACGAGAACTAAGAATCAGTACACATTTGACAATGACAATTCGTGTTCGCAAACGATACGAATTCGATATTGGTTCGTGCTAGGGGTACTGATCTTTGTAGGAAGTCAGCATTTACGGTTACAGTGAAAGAATAGATTTATTTATTTTCAAAGACATATTGACGGATCAATAGGCGATCAAAAACAGAAAAATTATAAACCCGGACTACAAATGAAACCCCGCCCGGACGCTCCCCGGACGCCCTGTAAACTAGGACAAATCCGGGGAAACCCGGACGGATGGCAGCCCTGAACAAGATAGGTTTTTATACATATAAAATATTATAACGAGAGCTGCTGCCGACAAACTGTTACACAGTTTGGCAGATGTATACATAGTGTTTACATGTTTAATAATTAGGAAAAAAAATTAAAAAAAAATCTGTCTAGTAATCCTTACTTTATTATAATAATGCATGGTAAATCTAAACCATCCCAACTCCTGCATTCCTCACTCAGTCTGACAAAACACTTTCTGAGTTATCATCTCACAAGTAAAATTACAAATAATAAAGACTTTATAAATTGATTTGCCCGAAAATTTAATTATTCGTCAATGATGTCGATTCTGGCATGATTCTCTAAAGCTAAACTTAAATTTGACAACAGTGCATCCTTGTCCTTCTCTATACAGAAGGAAAGGGTGAGACTGACCTTTAATTTAGTTTTAAGTTTAGAAAATCACGCCAGAATTGACACCAATGATATCGATTCCGACATGATTCCATTTGACAACAGTGGTGTCGATTCTGGCAGGATTCTCTAATCTTAAAACTAAATTTAACATCAGTCTGTCCTTTTCATTCTGTATAGAGAATGACAAGGATACACTGCTGTCAAATTTAAGTTTAGCTTTAGAGAATCATGCCAGAATCGAAACCATTGTATTCTTTGTCATTCTCTACACAGAACGAAAAGGAGAGACTAATGTTAAATTTAGTTTTAAGTTTAGAGAATCATGCCAAAATCGATACCAATATGATATGATGGTCTGCAACTAGTAAAAGAACATAAAAATAATAAGTGCACTCGTTTTCAATTTAAGTCATTTTTAGGCTGGCTGCACAGACTATTGTATAAAAGAACGAAATAAAAGAAGCCCCTCTTATAACTATCTCAGTGTTTTCGAGTTGGCCCTCTTTGCATCTGACAACTAAACTTCTTTTCGTAGAAAATAAAAAACACTATGGCAACTCCGTCGCATGCTACAATAAATGTCAAAATTTCTGTCCAATTTTATTCAAAAAACATCTGGATTTCTGAAGGCGACCAACCTCACAGTTAACACAATGTTTAAAAGAAATGGTTTTCACAAAACTCCAAAGTTTCGACCTGAGATGAAAGTGCTCAATAGCCGTTCCAAGCAGTCTGTAACTTTATCCATGAAGAAGGAGAAAGTGACTGTTTTACCTGAACCAATCAAATCAGAATCTGATAAAAAAATATACAAGTTAGCAGTTCCTAATTTCTTTTAAACTCTTAAACAGTTACAGAAACAGAATACATAGTTTAATAAAAAGTTTCTGGAAAATCACTTTTGGTAATTTAATTTATTTCTTGCAGGACAATAAGATTAGAGAATGGATTGACTGCCCTCCTTATATCAGATCCCAGTCGTCCCGTTAATAATGATGAATCGAGTTCTAGTGAGGAAGAAAGTAGTGGTACTGACGAGTCTACTGGACCAGAGAGTGACAGTGGAAAGTCTGTCCAATCGGCAACAAGTGATCAACATGGCTCAAAACGAAAAGGAGAATTTGATGAAGAAAAGTTGGTAAGTGTCACCTTTATTATTATTATCAGTTATCTAGTTTATAGTTATTGCAGATTGCTACATGAAAATTATTTCATTTGTGTGTTAGATGCATTTTTTTAGTGATTCTTTTGAACAGTTCTGAACATTGTCAAATTATGTAGGTAGTTTTTATATAAATTCCCTTTTTATCACAAGTTGAAATGCATTTGCCAATTTTTTATCAGCATGCAAAGGCTCTCAAATTTGCATGTTTCACAAAACCAGACCACAACTAGGATACACACATGTGTAACAATAACACACATCGTACAACAAGTTATGTTACAAGCAGATACACACAAAATGTGGAAATTAATAATAATTATTAAAAAATCAAATAAATGGATGACACACTATAATTACTAAAGTATTTATTAAATTCAATCTTCGTATCCTATTATATTTATTGTCTTCAGCATGTATACAGAGAGTATACAGAGACAGCATGTATACAGAGAGTATACATGTATACAGAGAAAACACATGGGCCTCTTGTCAAATCTTCGTGCAAACTTTTACACCTTTCGAAATTCATTTTGGCTTAAGTGGCTTAGTGTTAAATTTTATTGTACATTTTGGAAAACATGATTCATATAGTGTGAAAAATTGAATAAAATCGATCAAACTCTGAATTCATCTTTGTCTCATTATATACATCCGTGAAAGATAAAGATTGCAAATAATTACGAAACTTTAGTAGGTTCTCATTACAATAATCACGTTTATTAAGGAAATAATTATTGTTTTTCTGAATTCGAAAGGAAATGTTATATTATTATAACAATGAACTTATATTATAACAATGGCTTTAGATTTTATTTAATTAAAAAGCAATTGCTAAAGTATGGCTTATTAATTTTTAATGTTATTAGTAACCATCAGGATGAGGTATTTATGAAAGAAAAATTTCATTTTTAGTGTTGGATCTAAGTCAGAAATCTTAAATAATATTATTATCTCATTATTCCATACTTTTTGAAGCCTGAAGATTGAAGTGTAAATGTGGCAGTAAGTGGCAAATGAACATTGTTTGTTTCTTCTATCAAAATGGTTTATTAATTGAAATTACTTTTAATAACACATTTAAATTGAGCCATTTTAATGAATAGAATAAATAAAAATCATCATTTATTCTATTCATTAAAGAGCCAGCTTCAAATTTTCTCTCACAGATCAACTATTATAAACAATACGATCAAATTCGCACATTTGAAAGCAATCTGTAACAATTTTCAGAAAACAACTTAGGTATACCCTATCAATGAAATTTGCAAGCTTAAGTGGTCTCATGCTGCACCTAAGATGATCTGCTTAGTATGTATGTACTTATGCAATAAAATCCATGCAAGGTTTCACATGGATTTTGTTGAAATTTACTAATTTTTGTTGTGAAAAGAGGCAATGAGAGTTTATGACCCACCTGATAATAAAGGCAATCTAGTTCATGACCCAACTGATAAACATTACATATTAATGCTTTGCAAAACAATTTAAATCAGGCTTACACTGCTTACCTGGAGACCATCCTTAAACCTATGGAGCCTTGAAGACCTTTCTTAGTTCAGGAACATAACAATACATAACAGTAATTAGTATTATTTATAGGATTGCTATGATGCCGCTTGTTTTTAGCTAGTCCCTGACACTTCAGCAATGTTGCAAGCACAATGAACACGGAGTCTAAGACAATACAAAACAGTTAATTTAGCTACAGTGCTCTATAAGGATGAAGAATATTTCGTCAATCTAGAGGGAAATAACCTGGGCCCTAGTGAAGTGGCGCTAGCCCATGGAGCGCACGTGTGTTAACACATTTGGTGAAGAATTCGGCGATTATTTTTAAAAGCCAACACAAACGTAACGCCCCTCATGGGTCTATGCCACTAAAATACTAAACATCAATACATATGTATTCATGTTTAGTAGTTTAGTACCCCACACATGGCCACAAAGAAATGAAATCTGAACGAAAACATTATGGTCTTTGGACTTCAAAAACTAGCGTCCCAGTTTTACTAGGGTGCCACGATCACACTCGTACTCTCGGCACGTATTCTGGAGACCCTGGAAAAACCACTAGTTTTAGTGGATAGGACGTCGCTTATTTCTCGAGCCTCAGAGCTGGGCAAAATTAGCGAGGAGAAGTCTCACATACCCTAATCGCTCTTCTTTCGAGTGGTCGTGGCAGGCGTCATGTCTTTTACAGTAGTGTAAAAAATGGGTCCCACAGACACGGAGAATGTCAAGCCTTACCGCACCCAAATACTTCTTTTCTTAATTAGTAAACGCACAATGCAGTTAATATCATCGTAAAGAACTTGACCATGAAATAAATGACAAGAATGACCTTCTTGTCTTCATTTGTCAGGTTGCACAACCACCTATTGTATTCATCTGATGCTTTAACTTTTTGTTCAGCTTTTTTTTCAAAAGAGAAATCAGGTTAGATGCTTAGGTATGTAATTGTTGTTATACAATTTTAGGTCAGTGTCAGATTTTTCGAAAGTATCAATTGGACTAACTTCGTAATAACTTTACCTCTTCTACCTAAATAGTAAATTTTATGGCCTGCGCAAACGAAGGACTTTTGTCCGCCAAAATAGATCGCTTACAACTGCGTTCAGTAACGCACGCGAGGTATTTAAAATACCGCGTACAAAAGTCCCCCGAATAACTGAGGACGTCGAAAGACCGGACAGGACAAAAGCACGCGGTAGTGCCAGAAAAAAGATAGAACTCATCTGACTAGGCGCAGCAAAGCACACAGCAAACTTTATAGCCCAAGCGGGGATTTTGGAATTTACTCGATCGCGACAGAACAACACAAGAGTAAGGTGGCCCAAGAAGAGAAAGAGAATGGAAGATTCAAAAGACTGACGAGACCAATAGTCGAAATTTTATTTTGCAGCACTAGGCATTCGGCCCTACATAAGGTGCTTAGGTATGGTGGGTGTACTTTGCAAGGTGCATGATTGCCCCTCTTATGTTAATCTTCCAAGCTAGAGTTGATTCCAAAATCAGTATGGTGGGAGTACCTCGCAAGGTGCATAATTGCCCCTCTTATGTTAATCTGCCAAGCTAGAGACGATTCCAAAAACATAATGGTGGGAGTACTTTGCAAGGTGCATGATTGCCCCTCTTATGTTAATATGCCAAGCTAGAGTAGATTCCAAAATCAGTATGGTGGGAGTCCTTCGCAAGGTGCATGATTGCCCCGCTTATGTTAATCAAATGAATCTGCTAAGCTAGAGTAAATTCCGAAATTCCCGTTTGGGCGCCCCTATACTAATAGGGCGGTTCGCGCTCGATCCGATATAAAGAAATGAACCCAGTATTGTCTATTAAAACGTCTTCTTATTTTCTTATACTTCATGTTAATTACAATACATCGTAATATCAGAATATTTGCTTCCATAGCGTGCGCTTCTATACATATATACGGAATAATTTTCGGGCGATTAATGTCCACACACCGTGTGGACCCAACGGGTCCGTGGCAAGTCCTTAGCGCACATTTTTTTACGTTTGAAGGATTTTTGTCCATTGTGCAAAAGTCCCTCGTCTGCGTAGGCCATTAAAGATATTAACTATTGTCTTCTGAAAATCACCAGAACCCAGGTAATATATAATTTCGACTTTTTTGCGAACCTAGAACTTGTAATATCATTTTCGTTACGAATTCTGAAATTGACAATGGTCTAGACGTGTACGGATTAAGTAATCGTTATGTTCTGATTCATTTTCGGGCAGAAAATTAGAGCTATTCGATACTGTTCTTTATGTAATCAGTGTAGGTAAGGTTTCCACAAAACATTAATCCATCCATCACTTAATGTTTAAATTAAAGTTTTTCAAAGTTGCTTTTATTCTTGTTGTTTCGACTTATCTTAATCCATTTGGGATTGAAGTAAGCATGCCATTAGTTGTGTATTTCTGTAGAAATCTAACTTATACACAAGTATCTGTATCATTTAAATATTAATTTTTTGGTCTTCTCGCCCATGTGCTCTTTTTGAAAGGTCGTTCCGCACCGCATCCAAGGAACGATACATTGAGCGTTCAGCTTCTTGCCTCGGATGCGGAGCGGAACAATTCCTGATCAAAGACCCTTATTTTTATTGGTAGGTAGGTTGATACCTTCACAACGAAGAAAGTTTGTCAACTCTAAGATACTTAGACTTATAGGGAAACAATATCCCTTGTAAAGTTTCTTGCCGTTTCTTTTTCATATAAATCCGCTTCATGGATATCCGGCCGGATCGATAGCAAAGTTTTTCGATTTTCACCAAATCTTCTTATCAGTTCAGATAGCCTATATGTATGAAATACATTTTCGTTTTCTTAGGCATTTCATTTGTTAGGAGGCAAAATTAAAATCCAATGACAATTAAACAAATCCAAAATATCATTTATATAGGTACTTTTATTTAGTCGCATATGAAGTGTTTAACACTCGTCAGTATTACGATATATTTAATCCTACATTTGAATATGTCCAACATCTAACGATGTTAACGATAGAAGAAAGGGAAAAAATAACACAGTTTACTTCGACAGGGTTATCGCTACAAACGAAATATATTTAGGCTCTTGAAGATCGAATCCGACAAAGTATCTAGAAAGCGATGCAAGCTGCTAAGAACCGAGCTTTCTCTTGACACGGTATGATACCGGTTTTATTAGCAGTTTGATATTATTAACGTATTGGCAGCATAAAAGATTAGACTAGATTAGATCGACAGAAAACCTAAAGTAAATAAGTGCTATTTATACAAATTAGTAGTATGTAACAACTCTTGACAAGTAACAGCTTTATATTATAGATATAAATAATCTGTCAAACGCTATTTCCAAGAGCCTTAGCATATTATTTCATTTGTAGCAAATGAACTCGTTAAACTAAACTAGATTAGGTACTTTTGCCCTTTCTTCTAAAATCTGTAGACCCAGTTAAAAATAAAACAAATATTATAACATTTCAATTAAAACTCGAAATTTGGCATAAACTGTGTTTTGATTGCATAGATATACAGACCAAGGATGTTTTTGTAGAATTACAAAAAAAAGCTAATTAAAGCAAGCATTCATAATAAAAGTGATCCGATGTGTTTGCATAAGCCAGGTGTCCAGATTTTCGAGAGATTTCATTCTCATTGAAGATTTAAAAATTCCCAATTTTTTTATGTCCTCGCCGGCAAAAACGCGGACGAAGTCTACTTATGTTTGTAATTTTTGTTGCAGGCTGCGGTCGCCTTGTGCGTGGGCGTCGGCAGCTACAGCGACCCCCAAGACATACAGGGATTGGCGCATTTCGTCGAGCATATGGTCTTCATGGGCAGTGAAAAATATCCCAAAGAAAACGAGTTTGATGCTTTTATCAAGGTAAGGTAACAAGGTGGTGCTATATTCTTGGGGTTAGTAGTCCGAACTTCAAAGAAAAATCTCTGTTCTCAGCACGGTGAGAGTGGCGGGAATAAAAATTAGCGATCGAAAAATTTGCTTGAGCTTCGGGCGCCGAAAATCCACGCAATGCCTAAATTGAAAGTGCCATCTGCTTACTTTCCTTGGATAGAGTAGAAGGCTATGAACATAAAATTCTTGCTATTTAATTTCATTGTTCATTTTACTAATATAGGTATACATAAATGGGAATGTTCCTTTTTCGTGCTATAGCAAATGGCTTAGTAGGCTTTAAAGCTAGTGAAATTTTTATCAACATTTAATACCCACATTGCACTTATTAATGGCAAATAAATTTAGAAAACTCGATGAGCTGAACCTTATTGATTCGTAGTACGTAAATACTCAAGAAATATTGAGTTAAAATATGCATGTAAACAACAGCTTTTCAGATTAAACCTACGGCGATGGAAATTATAGTCAGGTTGCGAAAATACACCTTGCCAAAGCGAACTCAATCATTTATTCCGCGGAGCCCTGGAACCTTATTCGCCAACGAAAACAACACCAACATAAGGTTATTTCTCCTGGTCTCTCCAAACCTGGAGATTACTACCTCATTTAATTGATTAGATCTCTTATCTATTTAAAATCTTAGGTAACATATATATTGTTGACAATTTGTGGTAGGTAATCTGTAAGATATATTTTTTTCCGTACAACGTGAAATTGTATTAGAAAGTTGTTTGCACAAATGTGTTCCGGGTGTTCGTCGGCACTTTCTGCGCTGCATTCCATAACACAATAGTTGAGTAACACTGTGAAATGAAGCGCGTATGTTTACTAGTGCTATTACCAACCTACCAACTATAATGCCTCGTTAGATATCAATGGTATTAACATAATGGACAGGAATTTCATTAACATTTTTTTATATAAATCGCCCCAAACACACATATTATAATTATATTGAATTTTAAGGTTCCGTATCCAAAAAGATGACGACTCTCTAAAATATACCTCCGCTTCGCTATTTGTCTGTCACAGGACTATATCTCAAACGCAAATAGGTAGACATCTGTAAGTTTTACAGAATGCGTGTAATACTGTAAATACTCGCTATGTTAAGAAAAATTAAAATAAATTTGAATAGATAACTGACAAAACAAAAGGCCCGAATGATTTTCAAATAGAGATACTAAAATAAATCGAGCAAGATCATGTATGTGCCTTGACAAGACTGATGAACTTTGTGTATGACACTGGCGTATTTTCTGAGGACTTGCTCAAATCAATATTTGTCACTCTGCCTATTAAGCCGAATACTAAAAGATGTGAGGAATACCAAATTATTAGTCTTATGAGCCAAGCGCTCAAGTTATTCCTCAATATCACACACGAACGCATAAGAGCAAGATGTGATGAAAAATTGAGTGATAGCCAATTTGGATTTAGATCCGGAGTACTAGGAGAGTTTGCTATACAGGTTCTCCATATTTACACTAGTAGTCTCTTTTTTTTAAGTGAAAACTTCTTAAGCGGCGTTGTACACTTTTTTTGTATGGGTAAAAAATGTTAAATTCGCGTCAGGACACGTGGGCTGATCGCGTCTTGACACGTGGCCTGATCGGGGATCTGACGAAAACAATAAAATTTGGAAAGGTTGTTGACTTTCAATATATTGGACGAAACATAGTAATATTTTATTTTATCGTATTATAATAATAAGTCTATCTAGGACGTCCAGGGGGCAGCTTTATTGCGAAGAAAATGCATTTTTTTACAATAGAGGTCACTAGGTGCGCTTAAATGTGATTCATGTAAGTTGATTTTTTTACAATAGATGTCGCTGAGTGCCCTAAACGTGATTCATGTAAGTTATTTTTTCTGAGAGATAAACTTTTTTAATGTAATATAAATTGTCATGTTTGTGTACGATCAATAAATAAATATTTTATTCTACCACATAAATTAAAGTACTTTTATACTGATAAAATTAAAGCAATTCGCGCAAAATTATTCCCTAACCATTCCAAAATATCAAAAATGCATAACGTCAATATTCAAGTTTTTACTTCTGCCAGCACTCCCGGAGTGCAACCCGTCGTTTTTTTTTTATAATGATATAATCCAAAATATATTAGTTTTAGTAACAACATGTTGTTACTGAACATCTGCAGATGTTTTATGATGCAAGCCAATTAAACTGTTAACTTCTACTTCTATAATTAAGTTGATTTTGGTAAGTTCTAATTGATGATTCAATGTCAAAAAGACAAAAGAATGTCAAACTAACCTCCGCACTAATAATAAAAATGTGTTGCGCCAGGGTAGTGCCACCGCCCTATAAATGATGATATTAGATTAGTATTTGATTGTACTATCAAGTCTATTAACCCAAGGAATACGATTTTTCATACAAACTTTCATCCCTTTTTTTTACCCCCCATGGGAAGAATTTCAAAAATCAGGATATGTACATGTTATTCTTTATTTCTGATCGATATCAAGTATAAATACTGAGTTTCGAGTTAATCGAATGCTCGTTAAAATTGATTCATATAAAAACTTCGGCACGCTCCCGTTTCCCCTTTAGGGGTAGTTAAGGCAACCTAAAAATATTATTTAATTAGAGAAGTATTCGTACCAAAGTTTTAATTCTATTACTTCTAATTAAAAGATTTTTTATTCAAACTTTCAACCACTTTTAGAGATAGATTTTCGTAAAACCCTGATTTATACAGGTTATTCTTTATTTCTGGTCTTTAGTAAAAAATACCAAGTTTCGAGTTAATCGGGATGCGTGTTAAAATGAATCCATATAAAAACTTCGACAACCTCCCAATCCCCTTTTAGCTTTTAGGGGATATTTTAGGAAAACTGAGAATGACAAATTTTATAATTTATTTAGTAGTATTTGTGCTAAGTTTCAAGTCTATTAACTCAAGGAATAATATTTTTCATACCAACTTTCATCCTCTATTTTAACGTTTTCGGGGGTGAATTTTAAAATATCTTCCTTAGTGCACCCCTAGACCTAACCTACGTACCAAATTTGGAATCTCTAGACCTAGCGATTTGGGCTGTGCGTTGATATGTCAGTCAGTCAGTCAGTTTCTTCTTTTATATATTTAGAAAATTAAAACAATATTTTTTTAACACATTAGGTACAATAAAAAATACAATCTAAGACTTTTCTTGTTTCCTTCCCAGCCAGACCTATGTAACTAGTCTGGCCATAAATACTGTTACATAGAAACTTTTTTTTTCAACTTTTGAATTAAATTGAATTTGGAACACGTATATTTTTTAAAAGTTCTTTCGATTTTGCGCCATTTCACATATTTTTTCGTATTCATTATCAAATGACAATATGGAATGAGGTTGTTGGTTTTCGAAAATGGATCCGGCTCGCAGGACCAAAATGTCGGTGACGAAAGTGAAAGAAAGAAGGGGTGTTAAAGAAAATAGGATTGTATGAGTAGGTATGGAGCCGTCGATCATATTCCAGACACTTCAAAAGCTTGGTATCAGCCGTATGTTCGTATATCGTACTATCAACAGATACAACAACACTTAGTCTGTCGAAGACCAGAAAAGATCGGGGCGGCCGCGTGTTGTCTTGAAACCAACGTTCCGGACTTTAAGAGCTGAAGAATGGCCCTCATCTAGCCCAGACCTCAACCTTTTAGACCTCAAATTATGGTCAGTTTTAGAGGACATGGCCTGCTCTAAACGACACGGCGACATTGAGTCTATTAAAAAATCTTTAGAGTAAGCAGTGGCGAAATTTCCCTTGGAAACAGTGCGTAAATCCACAGATTCGTGGCCAAACAGAATAAAGGTTTGTGTCAAGGACGACGCGACCACAGCTCAGAAGAGGCTCACACGACTGGCCGACTACCGTTCCGACCTAGCGCGAACTGCGAGCAACCGACGACGCAACTACGGCGGGGCGCGGGGGGAAACGCACGGGATAGGTCAACTACCGCTCTGACTTAGCGCTAACTGCGTACTCATAATCTTAGATATAAGTAGGGTCATTTTGTCATTTTTTCATGCGGACTGCAGATGAACCTATTCGTATGCACGGACCCGTATGAACAAGTTAATCAGTGTCGCCCGTATTATAGTGTCTATAATTACGGATGAACCTGGCCTGGCCCCTTGGCCGGCGGGGACCTTCCTTACTCATAGCAGCGGGGCAGCGCGCTCCGCGCGCGCTGCTCAGGGTCGCGTCGGGTCATCCCCAACTGTGCTGTCGCGTCGCGCTCGCGAGCCGTCGCGCTAAATGGCAGACCAACCGCCCCAACCCCAACGCACGAAGCAGTCGAAGTCGAAGCTTCCGACACGCTCACCACCACGCACAACGAACAAAAAAGATGAGTTCGTGACGCCCGCTACGCCTACCCAAGCCACAAACCGGCAAATACCCTCCACGAGTCGTGCTGCAGCGACCGAGGGAACCACCAGCGATTCGGCCAGGACCGTCCGGCGATCCTCACTAGCCAAATATGAATTTGACGTGGTGATGATCTCCCGGATAATCCGCACCGGCCACCTGTCGGACAGGCTGAATCGCGGGCTGGCCTCCTACGCTCGGTTGCTGGAATACGAAACGGGGCAGACACAGGCCTTGTGTCCAGCCGATATGTTGGCAAAGGAGGCGCTGCAGGCCATCAGCGGCTCTCCACCTCAGCTGCCAAAAACCGACCCCCCGTGGCAGCGGAAACGATCCCGGGACACCGCCACGCCGCCTGAGACGCCCGACAAGCGAACCTGCCGCTCGCGCGACCCGCGACTCAAGCGCTCGCAGAGCAGCGGTGACACACCAGAGCCGGTAACAACACCAGAGCCTAGCCCTATCGCTACGCCACCGCCACCACCGCCACCACCCACCCCTATGACGACATCGCAAACACCGGCTGCACAACCACCTCCCGATGCGCGACCGAGGAAGGTAGATGTAGAAATACCCCCGT